TTGGTTATTATCTTGGTAGATTCAAGCATGCAAGCACAGTTCCCGTCGCAGACTCTCGGGGACAGGGCTCTGCTCGGTATAATAGTGCACCTCGCATTGCTCGTCACTTTCATCTCCCGTATGCACCCATGCAGACCTGGATGGTCTATATCAGAGAATCAGTCGAACAACAATATAAAGAGAGAATTGAAGGAAAGATACATCCAGCCCGCTGTCAACTTTGGTCTACGGCAGAGATCAGCAGTGATAGTGCTATGGAAAGGAACTATCCAGGAAAACATGTAATGGCCAGGCCGTACGGCTTACCTACATTTCTATCTATCTTGCTTTACACAGGGGCAAAACGAGGCTTCTACCATACATATAACAGATTGCTAGTTGGCTGTTCTTTCTTCTAGCATATTTCATGTCTTGGATGTATGAATAGTCTAAGACTATGTTTGTTTATGTGTCTGTGCCGTGTTCTATCCAGAGAATGGAGTTCAATATTAATCTCTTCACAAGGATGGTTCTTCACGGGGTGAGAAAGGTAGAGTCGGAGGGCATTCGCTTTGAGTGCTTTTCTATCCTATATACTGTATGCTGGTGACGTCAACAACATACGCAGTTAATATTAATCCGGTCATAACGGCACGGTTTCAGGTTCTCGATCTTCACTTGCTTCTTAGGCCGGGGGCATTTGTAGGGTTGGAAGGTGCCTGTCTGGGCGATTGAGAAAGCAGAAATGACATCTCGGACCTGCGCACCCATACCTAGGCGAGACTTGCATGCATAAACAGCAAAGTCACTTTGAAGGTGTGTTAGTTTTCGAGCCGAATGGGGAAAAATTCAATATTAACTGTCAAGTCCGACGCATCGCATACTTGCTGTTCTCCGGCATGCAATGTAATGGCGAGACATGCGCGAATAAAGCCTTGCGTATTCTCGTGAAAGAGCGCTGCGGATATTTGACGGCTGGCTGATAACTCTGCATCCACTTGCGCTTATCTTCGTATCAACATTATAGGTATGTTTATTCCATCAATTCTGGTCTGTTTTGAACGCGAACGAGGCCAGGTAGCTAGATCGTGTAGCACTGTGGTTTAGTCCGGGATGTCAGGCAGGATTGGATAGCCGGTGGAGACGCTCAGCGATGGTTTGTGATATTCGGTTCCGTGATAAATGCCATATGAGAAGTCAATATTTGCTCGTCCCTGCAAGGTGTGGAGTGAGTGTACGGGTGCTGCTTTGGGCAGGCATACGTAGATTTAGCGAGGCACAGCTTAAACCGAGACCGATATAGTTCCCAAATCTCAACTGAAGCGCTTGGGTTTGCTTGAAACAGTACCATTTCGCTGTATGGAACGGTCCGCTCGGTATTTCGGTACTCCATAGACGTTTGGCATACGTTTAGAGATTGCTATCAGTCTCAGGGGTAGGGCCCACGTTAAGACTTAGCGTAGAATTGTCGATGTGATAGCTCATCAAACTCTAAGAGGTACTTCGCCTGAGTCAAGGAGCATTCGGCTAGTCCGTAAACAGAAAGTCAGTATGATTCAAGCGCGAGACTATTCGGAGCTAGAGGAACGGTGAATATCGCTTGATCTTCTCTGAACCACGGCCTGGCCAAGCTTCGATTTGATAAAGTGGATTGGAATCAAGTGAGCAGCATCGGTTGCTGTAAGTTGTAGTCTCATTCCCCGCCAATCCGAATTCGGTGTCTCGCATGCACTGGAGTTGTAGGCAATGCAGGAGTATTGCCAGCCGCTATTTCACTTTGGGCAATGCAAACGAGTCCTTGGAAATTTTGCATCGTTCACTTGCGTGTATGTTGTTGGTGATACTCCCCGAGAGTAAGCTGAGGAGCTCGGGGTTTGTCCGAATCGAGAGTCGATCATAAAAGGCTTGGCTCGAGGGATTGCTCAAAAAGGGGGGTGGAAATTGGTGATAGATTACAGAGTGATACAAGTTGATTTATGGCGTTCGGTCCATGGGGGATTGTGCATTAGAAAGGTGTAATTTGAGCTTTCTTTGATACAGTTAATTATTATTCTGATTATTTAAATGATCGATAGAAAGCGTTGTCGGTCCATACTCCGTATGAACTTTAACGGATAAGCAACAATAGAGATAAGGTCTAGAATACATCCCGTAATCTTCATCAATAGCCACGCGCATGCTAATGATGCACGCTAAGGCATGCACTGTCATTGTCCCTCATCACGCCGTCGTCCATTTCTCTCTCGTTGAATATTTCCCAAAATTGTGAAGACCCCAATTTGGTCCCTCAACAACAGGGATTCTTCGTGTCTTTCGTATTCATGGTCGGACAATCTTGTTCAAAAATCTCTCACCAAATAATCCATGCATTTGAAATATTCGATCCATTCCCGAAAAATATGTTACTCGGGTTTCGCCGGTAACATGGGCCTCAAAAGACGAATTAATTGGCCTCCTTTGAGCCGCCTTGCGTCACCTTCCTTGACGAATCCAAGGTCGAAGTCGAGAGTTTTCGATTCCACACTAACGCAAGGACAAGGCGACGGCTGAGCCGGATACGAGTTGACTATCGAGTCAAGTATCACCACCACTTCATGGATATGGCACAAGCGTTCCAGATTAATAATGGCTCCCATGCTTTCCGATTGCCGGTTGCAATCCATGTAACGTCGTCGACAGCGCTGGATGCCCCCCTTTTTGAGTTAGTCGATACTAAGTACTAGGAACCACTTGGACGAGGTAGTACTTGTACTCGGAGTATGGTCGGGTATCTGTCAAGGTGGGGTCCCCAAAACCCGTGCGGGCTGTCAGCATTCAGTTTGCTCCCTCAACCCCCTGATTGGCTCGCTCGGGTGTTTTGAATTGGACCTTCGGACCAAGAGGCTGATCATTCAATGCTCTGTGCCATGATTTTCAAAATGGCATAAGGCTGACCATCAGATCAAGTTCCGTGGCGGTTCAGGCGAATGGCCTGTACCACTACAGACCCGACATGAAGTTAATACGTTGGAATTGACGCCATACCTTACAGACAAAATAGACAGACTGAACGAGAAAAGGGGAGGGGTAGAACAAAAAAGAAAAAAGAAAAAAGAAAAAAAAAAAATCTTTTTCCCCTTCCGACTGACAATTAAAGTACGAGCTCGGTACATCGTAAATATGCCATGTCTTTTCAGGCCACCAATGATGTTCCAAGATAACCGGAATAGGGAATTGGTAGCGGTTGCTCATCCATCCCCATCATGTGGCTGCGTGCTATTGTTGACTTTCCAGCATATCTGCAACCATGAGGTCTCTCAAGGATCAGGCTGCCTTGCTGGTACCAGGGTGTGCAGAGCCCGAACTATTCCCCGAGATTTGACTAGGAGTAGAACGGGACCAAGTCTCGTGGGACGTTGTTAGGCAGAGGAATGGTGGTTGTACGCACTTAAGAGGCTCAAAGTGATGATGGATCCTATACTATCTTTCTTATCATACTGGGTGGAACATTCGCCTTATGCATACACGCCATGAGATTCGCTACCCACTAATGGCTCGGGCCATACAACTGGATAAGGGCCCCAAAACGAGTTCCTCCTTCAAACGCATCCAAGGTGACGAGCGAGAACATTAAATTGTCCACTCATTGTTCGTTTTCAGATGTAGCAGTAGAACGAGGTCAGAGATCCAACGTCCAGGGTAAAGCTTGCAAGGCTGAAGCTAGTTTCTCGACAATTTCCCCCAGGTAATTGAATTAATTTAATTCAACTCTTGAAATTGGCCCCCATGGAGGTGTACATACATACATACATACACCGTACCACGTCATGATGGAGTGGTGGAGGCGCAGCATGTTCGTTTCTTGCGCAGAGCCCCACTGAAAGCGCCTATTTCAGACTCCAAAGACCAAAACCTCGCACTCAATCTATTTCACGGGCCAAAGCCGACAGGGCAAATCAAATCCAATCAATAAAAAGGGACAATAAAGGGTACCCGCAAATTGAGTGCAGGGGATTCTGTTCTGGCCCGGGCGTTGAAAGGAGCCTTTGCTTTCACCGCGTGCCAGACGGATGGCGCCGGAATGGGGCCCGTCAAGGGTTATGCCTTGAAGGGTAAATAGTGGTTGCTAATACCAAGATACCAAATATTTGTCCGGAGCGACCTGCGTAAGTTTACCCATCCATATCCGCTTTCCAGTGAGTCCTCGCGGCAAATCACTTAGTTGAGCAGATTAACTTCTTGCATATCGTCCAGGTATGATTCCTTTTGGAACAACCCTTAGGCAACCATACCCGAAACTGGAATATTTTGCGACCACTAGGTATCATTGCTAGTTTAAAAGTTACCCAAGGTTGAAGGGAGAGGATTCCAATAAAATAAAATAAAAATAAAATAAAAAAAGAAAGAAAGAAAGAAAGAAAGAGAGAGAGCAAAAAGAATCAAAGGATATGGAACGCGTCAGGCTCCCGCTAGAAAATATTCCTGGGGAAAAGGTGGATTTGAACATAAGAAATGAAATACATCATTACGAAATCGATACTCATCGTACGAGGAACAGTCAATAGTCAAGAATATTACCCTGATTGACTTGAAATTCAACAAGAACTCTCTCCAGTCTAGCCCCCAAATCTAGCGAGTAGTCCGAGGAGGCCCGCAAATTGTTTGGGGGCCAGGCTGGACATGCACATAGTACATAGCTTAAGGCCAACCAACACCCAAAGAGCCACCGATTGGTCGAGACCCCATTGTCAATGGTTTCACCTCCAAAGAAAAAACAAAACAAAACAAAATAAAATAAAACCAAAAAGCCACACACACACACACATACACACACAACCAAGTTCAAGCTGTATTCCATGACAATGCTGAGAAGACATGAATTGTAGGAGAATATAAATCACAATAATAATAATAATAACAACAGTAATGATGAAAGACAGCAAGAAGTAGTTTGTAGCATGGCCACTAGTGTTACGCCTCAAGATCAAGCTCCCATAATAGCCGGAACGCCAACCGCAATGTATCGATCAAGCTGTCACATCACCCAAACCCAAGGCCCTGTAAAGCTGCGCCCTGCCATGTCTTGTGATGTCTGAAAACAGATGGCATCCCATGCCCACCCAAAATAGTCAAATGAATGAAATAAAACTCCACCGTACACATAACCCAATTTATCGTACCAGTCGTTACAACAAGCCATCGCCAAAAGCAAACCAAATAACGTCATTAAAATAGAGGGTACGAGTGGGGAGAGCATGTGTCCGACTCGGGGGTAAGAGGGCATGCCAGATTGGGCGGCTCCGCTGGTGTCGATGGGGAGGAATGATCATCGCTGCAAACGTGCGACAGCGGCGGCATCTGAAGGAAGGGAATTAGTCTTGCTGAATATGGGATGTTTTGCAGATCGGCTCAATGAACGGGGAGGGGTATGTACAGGGATATTGGACTCCGAAAGATGTTGAGAACTCGGACACAAATCGATGCCAGCCATGGATGCGTAGCTCATGCTAAACGGGCTCACAATATCTTCGTCCGCGTAGACATGCGGCCTCTTGATTGGGCCTGTCGTAGCCATTGTAACGGGGAGAATAGATGGTACGGAGGTTCCATACTCTCCATGATACATATCACTGTAGGTACTCGGGATTGAATGGTAGGGATGTGGCTGTCCATATGGGGACTGTCCGTAGGGTTCCAAGTGGGAATATGAAGGATAAGAGTACACAGGCGGGGGTGATGCGGAGAGCTGGCGCGTACATTGATGGGAGAACATCGCCCCCCGGTCATCCTGTGCTGCATAACCATCATAAGCTGGGATCCTCTCCACTGTAGTCCGTCTCGTGGCATCCGCGTTCGACTTAGAAGTGCGAGAGTTTCTAGCACGAGGCTTGGCCGGATGCGAACTCTTTGGCACTTCAGTCCTCTCGTTGGACCGTTCTGGGGATTCTGAAGCTGAGGCAGCCCTCTTCTCAAGGTCCTCTAGGCGGCGCTTGAGCTTTTTACCTAATACAATGCCCGAGTCAGAATGGACGCCCATATCGTTTTCTTGATAACGGCACACTAACGATAATTGCGCTGTGCAATTCGGTTCTGAATACGCCGCCGCTCGGCAAGATCTGATATCTTGGTCCAGTCTTCGTTGGGATTGGCATTTGGACTGAATGCACTGCTGCTGGCGTGACTCGACGAGCTTCTTGAGCTGGTTGTTTGGTAGGTATGACTGCTTGACCGGTGCATCTTGAACAGATAAAGGATGCGGGGAAGAATAGCAGGAGACACTGCCAACTTTATATATGTAGAACAGAGTTTAGTCCGTCTACGATTGGTAGACTTAATGAGATCCAAGTAAAATCGAGGAAGAGCGGTACAGGAACAAAGAAGGGAAGAAAGATTGGCTATATAGATTCAGATTCAAGTGGTCAAGGCCGTCAGTGATGATTTACCATCGGAACCTAAAACAGAGAAAGGAATCACGTCGTATTTAAAGAAACGTTGGAGCCATGGCCAATCCACTAGAGAAACAGCCTACATGTAGCTCATTGCTTGCTAAGCCCCGGTCTCCGAGTCCAAAACAACCCATGACAGCGATTGAGCCGTTGCGATAACAGTGATAATCCCGTGTTTGGTTTAATTTTCTTCTCTGTTTTTTTTAATGAGTTGATTTAATTTTAGTTTAATTTTGATTAAATGGAATAAAAAAAAATTTATTTTTTTTTCTTTGGAATTAGAATAAAAATATAATACCTATTTTTTTTTTTTCGTTCTTGTTTTCCATTTTCTTGTTCTTTTTCCTTTTTTTTTTTTATTTGGGGTCTGGTAACATTAGTGTTTCGCAACAGGTGAATGCCTGGGGGCTTGGGGCCAGGGAGCCATTAGTATGCATGGCTTGACCATGTGTTGGTAGGGAACTTTTCCCGAATGGATCCGCGGATGTGCAGGGCTGCATCGCAAAATGGTTGGCGGGCTGACGGAATCCCAGGTTGTGAGGCTGTTGAAGCGGGCCCTCCGATGACCGAAAAGACCGAGAGGGGGGGGGGGGAATTAACAACCAAGGAAAAAGAGGAAGATCAGGCTGTGCTGAACCAACAGCCCCCCGGGTTTGACTTTGTCCACCATCATCGGCCATGTGGTTCCAGATATTGCATTAGCAGCATGTCGCTAAGGTTGAAGCTACATTCTCCAAAGAAGGGGGCGGTTTACCAAATGTATTGATGAATGTGCCTTGCAATTCACCGACATGTTAGATTCTAAAAGGAACTTGATAATAAATAGCAACATCATGTAGAATGCAGATCTTCACAGATTCTTTTTTCCCAGCCCTTCTAACTCTTCTTTGGGTTGTACTCTGCTCTGTCTGGGGTGCGAAAAATAGACAATGCTGCAGTTCAATGACACGCTGAATTCCTCACCTTGCAGCAGGTATAGAAAAAAAGGGAAAAAGGAAAAGTAAAAAGCCTCGAAACAAGTGTAACCACGGACAGTTTTCCAAAGTTGTATATCCTTCCTAACCAAAATCTTTTACGAGCGAGCCAACAAAGATCGGTAAGGAAAGTGGAAGTTGCACAGTCATGCATTGCTAATGGGGGCCTTTCTTGGTGATTTACTTTCCTTCCATGCATGTTACCCGGGGTACTTTGGGGTCCAACATGGATGTTGTCCTTGTATGTACAGTATAACTGTATTATAACAATAGGTATTTTACAAATGACAAAAATTTTCCCTGGATTAGGGCAGCGAAGTGGCTTTCCAGTGGCTCTCTGTCCCCAAAGGAAAACGGGAAAGATGCTGTTTCCCAGGAAGGGGCTAGATTTGCACCTTCACTTAGTGACCATTTGTATGTAATATACCAGTAATGCCTGTATTGACAAAAAAAAAGTATGGTTACACAATGAATCACTGAACTCGTTCTCATCATTATCTCCCATGGTTACCTATTCTTAGACCAAGAGGTGCAGGTTGTACTAACTAAAAGATAATTTTAAGCGTCTTTATTTGATGTCAGTCATCCGATGACTTGCATGCGTTCCTATTCTGGCAGACTCGAATTTCCTGCGTCCATCTATCCTTCTATTAGTTCGTCATCTGGACCCGATATTCAACTTTCAAATGGGGTTAAGTGCAGTACTTCATGGTTCCAATACTACAAAAATATATGAAACAGATCTAAACTTTTTCGGTATCGTGATAGAACCTCAATATGCTCCTACCCTATAGGACTGGTGTGTGCTCCGTACTTTGAGTTGGATAACAAATTCTCAAGATCGATATCGACCAACTTTAATTACGGGCATTGTGACTAGTTGCTTTGGCCGGAGTACCACCGTTCTAAATCCCTCCCAGGTCAAAGAAATTAGCCGCCGGCCCCCATCCCACTATTTTAGCTAGAATACAAGCGTTGCTCCGGACATGCTCTTTTATTAGGGTACCTTAACAAGAAAGAAGCATAGAAGGGGAAGTAAAATACATGGAGAAGAGGGGGGAAGAAAAGAAAAGAAACCTAAAACTACTATAATTGTATTTCGACTGCACGCCATTTCTAACCAATGACAAATTTGTTGTCAATACGGGTTAGGATGTACCTTAGCACGACCCACTCATTTGCATGACAGGCTTCATATCCCTCCGGAGTTGGATAACTCTTGTGATGTTTTTAGGGTAGAATACCTTCTGACCAATCACACCCGGGTGCACCAGTTTCCAGAAAAGGCATTTAGGCAACTCCCGTCCTCCGATTGACCTCCTACATGCTTCCTCGACAGCGCGAAACCAGAAGCGGGCAAATTCTGAGGAATGTTGAAGTGGATTGAACCAACATGGAAGAGTGCACGGCCTCGATTTCTGCCACGTTTGTACCGACCCCCTTGATCTTGGCAACACACTAAAGATAAAGATCTCACCTTACCTAGTGGATGGCGGCGTGGGTACTCTAATTGTATATCGCTCCTCTTATTCTAAAACGACACGACTCTTGATAAACATGAAGAACTGCGTAAGGCTGTGTTAGAGCTATGGGTAACTGGCAATATGTAAGAATGCGGAACGTTGCTTTGCCTATGTCTTGGACACAATGAATAATGATATTACCAATCATTCTCCCTCCTTCCCTCTGTCTGTCTGTCTGTCTGTCTGTGTCTATTTCTTTTTTTTTTTTTCCTCTTCTTTTTTCTTTTTCTCTCTTATTTACTACATCTGTTGCTAGGAATGATCTCTACCTTGAATATAACCCGTGCGAGGCTCAACTGCAAGGCAGATTACCAAACATACCATCATATTTGGGGGCGAGTTGCATGAAACGAGTACTCTTGCTGTATTAGGTTTCTGCTCGTTGATACGTTACTGGGATTGAAATCAACCCAACCGCCTCTTTCTTTCCGAGAGTAAGATGATTGGAAAGGAATTCGTTGCGTCAAGCAAGGTAGAGAATTCTTCCATGGGTGTGTGTGGGGATGCGTCAATATGATAATGTCTATTTTTGGGTTCACCCCAGTCTGAGGTATTTCGAGGGATAACAACTATGAGGCTCAACTTTTTCTTGTTTCTTTTTTTCCTCTAAGAATCTATCCCTTCCAGAGTAATACGAGCTCATAGTCTGGGCCCCCCCTTGTGTAGGGCTGATGAAACGGTGTCTCATTGGCGAGGATAGGAAACCAGCTAAGTATCTGTTTCAGGATGTATGCCTCGAGGTCACGCGCCAATCACATGGTTGGTCCCAGTTGGGTCGTCATGCAGAGTGATATCTTCTTGGTGGTGGTGGGGTCTGGGCCTGCATACAAGCATCCATTCATACTCACCCGCCTCATGACTCCTCGCCATCGTATGTAACCTCGTCTCTTATTTCCCCCACTCTGGCTAGACCCGTGGCCCCCGACAAAGGAAAAAAATAGAAAGAACAGAGTTGTATGTTATTGTGCATCGGGAGAACATCACAGTGCCGATCAATACTTATGAGTCAATTACTTTGACAAACCTCCTCCCGGCAATAGCCTGCATAACATATTTCCAAGGATCGGGATCTTAAGAGACAATATTCACGATGACGAATTGTTAAACCTTCCAGCAATGATGAAATACCCAGGCAGTGATGAAACGTGTTGACACTTACCTTTATCTGCACATATGTGACACATATATCTGCACTAACTGGCAGTGATTATACATATTCAGGCGTTTAGTACCCCTCGGCAATTTCCTCGCATTAAATACTTGTTTTATATGATTTCTTTACCTTCAGTCGCTTTTTTCAATAGCCCGTCTAATTCTAGAATTTGACCCCTGGTTGTTAGGTATATAGTATATACATTATTAATTTAACGCAGGGTCATCATCACCACTACTCCGCTTACAATGGCAGAATAAGCCTAAGGGTTATCCGTGCCACCCGAGAAGATTACGAACACCAATTGCTTACCCGGGTGTAGGTGACCGCACGTGGTGGCGGACTTGACATCTGACGGGCAAAGCTAAGTAGTATGAACGGTGAAAATCTCCACTGTATAGAGAGTACTAGTTCCGCCCCCAAGTCTACGCAGGTATGGATCCTTCGGCGAAGTAATTTATGCATCATCTTCGATCGAGAGGAGCGACTTACTTAGCTTGCCACCTCCGCTCGCATTTCGCAAATACATTCCCTTTTGATTCGTTGAAAGAGACATGGTTACCGGATAGATTGCTGTATCAATCTCAATTTATAGGGTCGGGCAAGTTATACGCCGAGATGCAATCGACGTCAATTGACTTCATTCGCTGAAGGTGGGGTGGTGGAATCAGCACAGGATGGCATTCCTTGTACGATGTGTAAAAGAAAACAAAAAAAAAAAAAATGGCTGAAAAGGCGAGCGTTACAAACTCGGGATTCATTATTTTCAACTATTACTGAGTACTCTTGGAATGGCCCGAGTGTCGGAACTCCGTTTAATGTATAACATATATACCATGCGGTCCATTGAAGAGCTCTGCAATTGTAGAGGATCAATTGTCCCGGGGCGGAAAAGAAGGGGTAGACTGTTAGGTTTTTATCGAACTGGAAAGCAATCTAGAACTATTTTGTGTTGATGCTGTCCCAACCAAGTTGACGGCATAAGTAACAGGCGTCGCTGAAGGAGTTCCGTTCGTTTGGGTTTAATATGTCCATACCAGTCAAATTTTGCAGGGCACAGTTAAATATAATTTCGATATAGCTATGCCAGACTTCGTTCTAGTCGACTGTAGTATGCCTACTGGGATCTATGACCATCTAGAGCTAGCAAATGGAATGTACCTTATCAAAGAATATATACACCCAGAACGATAATATTCGGTGTCAGACATGAGAAATCTTCAGCTCCACGGGTTTTGAGAAACACCGATTGCCGCTAATAACATGACACCTATTCGTAAAATTCCTCAGAGAATAACGCCTGCATTAGTCTAACAGGCAAGTCCCATAGGAACGAAGGAAATGATATTATTCTGTTGGTGATCTAAAATAACCCCGACATTCGGCGCCGCATATCTCCGTGCCTGTGGTCGACAGGTCCAGCAGATAATGAATGAATATTAGGTCTTGCGGGTCTCGTCGGCATCCCTCCCTACCAGTCTGCCTTGCTATCGGATTCCCTCTCCGCCAAATTGACTAAATATCCTGTGTTGCTGTGTTGCACCTCCCCCATCGTATCCGGAACCCGCTGTGCAGCACAGCCTTCGTGACGGCTTGACAACGGCATGGTGATCAGCCTGGTATGGAGTATTCAGATGCGTGTTGATCGACTTATCCGCCGTTGTTGTCCCGTGTCAGATGAATGGGGACGAATGACTGGAACTAATTGGGCGGGAGCGGATCTTGCCGACGTTCTGGACGCCGTGTAGCGTGCATTGTGGATCTCCTCGTGGCTGCCTGGGGATTCTCCCCCTTCAGCTTGGGCCCCTTATGCATACCCGCTTTGGGCTTACAGCCACGCCTCGTTCCTTGTTGGGGGCCGCGACGGATATTGTGCCTCAGGCACGAACTGGAGCCACGCTCATCCATACTCCGGACCAGTAATTTGACAAGTTGCCTCCCTAGGCTAGACTCGAGGGTCACGGATAACGGAAATTAATGAGGTTCAAATCTTTCAACGCTGATAGAAACCGGCCTATACTATCGTCAATCATTGACATTGGGTGTATATCGCTCTGGTCAATTGGTCAAGTATACTACTATACAGTACATCCCTACTCCACTGGATTTGTCGTTCCAACATGGGAATACTATCTGTTACTATATTTATATCATTGACCGTTGGGATCGCCGTGTTACTTCCCTGTAGAGATACGCCTTAGGTTGACAAGGTCCGTGACATGGCTCTTCAGGCGCCCTGTTCATGGGGCTCCAAAAAGGCTGACCGAAAAAGTACCTTGTAGTATGGCAGGGCACTGATCAACGATCTAACTTCTTAGAGGCTAAGTCGTCATTCGCGATACTATGACGGCTGAGTCTTCGAGTTGTTGGTTCAAGCGCAAGGTGGTAGCTGCACAGTTGATCATTTCCCTTTGAGGACATCTGCAGACGCCATGCACGGGTTGCTAGAGTTTTCGTGGAGGCAGATTCAGCAGGTGTCGACTTCCCAAGATACTCACCAGTTACTGCAACCAGACACACAAGGTAGCTTTTACCTATTGAGCGGTGGGTACTCCGGCTGGATAGAAGAGAGCAAATTTTGCAAAACCGAGATAGCTAGACTTTCTGCATATTCGTTTTAAGATATGTTATAATGCAAGATAGCGCTTATGCTAGTTGAAAAATGGCCAAACCAAACTATAGCAGTGATATAACCCAAGACTGCGATTCGTTTCTCTTATCCATACCCATAAAGAATCATGTAAAACACTCTAAACGACTTGTAGCCCATTTTGCGCGACAGAGGCTTCATTTACAGGACGTAGCTGGTAAAATCAGTATAAGATCATAAAGAATGTATCCGACAGCAGACTTACCTCCACTTATGGTCTTCATCACCATACTGGATTCCCTCAATCCAGTTTTTCATCTGGGAAGCAATCTCGCCAGCTTCCTCATCTTCCTTCAAGCCGCAATCGACCATCTTGCCTTTGTAGCTGATGCTTCGTACAGGGCTTACGATGGCTGCGGTGCCAGATCCAAACACCTCAATCAGCCTACCCTCGTCTGCTGCCTCAGCAACTTCAGACATTCTAATCTTGCGCTCGGACACAGTCCAGCCCTTTGGTGCTAGTCTTTCCCGGGCAAGTCCCAAAACAGAGTCACGGGTCACGCCTTCAAGAATGGTTCCATCTAAAGGAGCAGTGACTAGTTCCTTCTGCCCTGTTTCCTTGTTCTTCAACGCAATAAAGAGGTTCATAGTTCCGACCTCAGTCACGTATTCTTCCTCACCGAAAAGCCACAAGTTCTGCTGGAAGCCTCGGGAGGCTGCGCTCAGTTGAGGAACAATGCACGGAGCGTAGTTAGCACCCAGCTTCTTATCTCCAACACCACCGGGCCAGGCTCGAACAGCATAGTCAGTGGCCTCTAGAGAGATGGCTTTGAAACCAGTGGGGTAATAAGGCCCAACAGGGCTTGCGATGACGAATAAAAGGGCAGAACCTGGTGGACCAACCCCAAGGGTACTTTGCGTGCCAATCATTGTGGGCCGCAGGTAGAGTGAGTAACCCCGAGCACTATTGCTATTAGTTGAAATACGTTGGGAGTCAGCGATGACCATACCTAGGGATGAATCTGCTGTCCAGCTTCACGAGCTCCCCAACCAATTGAGTCAGAGCCTCACCATCAACGGTAGGGAGAGCAATTCGCGATGAAGACTTGTTCAAGCGCTCCATGTTCTTGTCTGGACGGAACAGCCGAATTTGGCCATTGTTGTCTTTATAGGCCTTCATGCCTTCGAAGCATTCAAAAGCATAGTGAAACACACAAGCCGAGGGATCCAAGCTTAGGTTTTGGTAGGGGACAATACGAGGGGCATCCCAGCCATTGGATGCTGACCATTCAATAGCAAGCATATGATCTAAGAGATATTCACGTTACTATAGGCACAAAATGTGGCTAATTCCTTGGATTGCGCATACCAGTAAAAGTTTTGCCAAAAACGAGATCCTTAGCAGGTGTCAATTCTTTAGGGGTGCTCGTTTTGGTAACCGTAAGCTTTGAAGGATCAATGCCAGCTAGCCGGGAAGCAACAGCTGGAGTACTGCTGAAATGCCTCTGCCATAATCGAATTGCGCTGAAGCTCTGCTTCGGAGGGATGGCCAGGCTTTGTAGCGCCTTGGGGCGAGCGAATTGACGCAGCGAGTTCATGCCTGCGCGCCGCAAACTGAGAACCGCGGTACTCACGGGGATGGTTTCGCAGAGTGCCTATCGACCGTGTCACTACTAAGGAAAAATTGATGTTGGTGAAAGATAGGAGTATGGGCAGGAAAGCGAGTTAAATGGCGGAAGGGGCTACCTTTAACAGATGAATGAGTCGTATCCCACGGACCCTAGGTCCAACTCCGGAAGTTCCAGCGATAACCGAACTGATACGGAAGCCAAACAAACGCGCCCCACACGATCTCGAATGGCAAAACCGTCATACAAATCCAGTGATGGAAATGTAAAGTGCAATTTGTTAATTGTTGGCTGCCGTCAAAGTAACTTTCACAGAAGTTGACCGCGAGATTGTTTATATTGTTGATCAACAGGCCAAAGCGATTGGCAGACAATCCGTGGCTGACGTCCGAGGTCGGAGTTAAAATTCGCAGATAGCCGGCAATAGCCTTTACAGTGTACCATTTGAGAGCTGTGAGCCACGTGATATCAGCATGAGCTGTGAACCGTTCCACAATCATTCATTGGTTACAGCGTCATTTATCACGTGATTATATCCGTCCTGATGGCAGCAGATCAGGTATGCATACTTAGGCCGAAGGTTTCGAGATGGATAATTAAGCATAACGTGTAGGGCTGAGGTGCACCAAACACGCGTTTCCCGTTTGATTTTGGCTATTTATCAGCGTCCTTCTCTTTCTGTGCAATGGTTACCCAAAGTGCACTGTCAATATCTGATTAATACACGGGAGGGCATCTTGCGTGAACCACAACTTGCGAGGCATTCTTACCACTCCATCGCCACATCGAATCAAGAAAACAATCGCTCTTGGCTACTCAGCCTAGAATACTGCTTGGTTCTATGCTTTTAAGCTGTCGGCGGGAGAATCATGTTTTCATCAGCTCTGAAATCATTTAGTTCCAATATATCAGCCAATTATCAAATTTCTCCGCAACCCGCAGTGATCTCTGGTCCTTGGAAAATTCATGATGGAAAGAAAAAGTCCACCGGCACCTCGGCCTCCATTTTCATCTTTGACAAGAAGTCACTCGAGTCACGCCCGAGCGGTCTAGGTGGTCGTTCCTCCTCTTCGGCAAAGAAATTGCACGAGGATGTCGTTGAACGACTTAAACGGGAAGCTGGTAGCCTGACACGGCTCAGACATCCCTCTGTGCTCCAGGTTCTAGAGCCCGTGGAGGAAACCCGTGGTGGTGGTCTCATGTTTGTGACTGAACAAATAACCACCTCTCTTGCTAGACTCCTGCAAGAAAAAGATGCGCAAGAAAGCAATTCGAGGTTGGGCTCGAGGCCTAGCCGTTACATGGTAGAAGAACCTGACGGAACCCGAAGGCGACGAGATTTGGAGATTGATGAGCTAGAAATTCAAAAGGGACTTTTGCAAGTTGCCAAGGGCCTCGAGTTCCTTCACGAATCTGCGGGTCTTGTACACGGCAATCTCAACCCCGAGGCCATCTTTATCAATGCCAAATCCGACTGGAAGATATCAGGCCTTGGGTTTGCCGGCCCACCCAACTCCACAGACTCTCGGTCCTCTCTTCCACCTTTAGCTTTGTCAGAAGTCCTTTACCAGGACCCTCGCCTCCCTCCCTCCGTCCAACTGAATCTGGACTATACGTCACCCGACTTTGCATTGGACTCCAATGTAACTACTTCTGCGGACCTGTTCTCCCTTGGGATTATCATCGTAGCTCTATATAATTCCCCGCACGTCTCTCCGCTCCAGGCTCATTCGAATCTCAACTCATACAGAAAATTACTCAGCTCTCCCTCTACGACGCCATCACAAGGCAATAATTTTCTTTGCTCGGGCACCATTCCGAAGGAACTCATTACACACGTACTACCCCGGTTAATAACTAGACGACCAGCGCAGCGTTTGAATGCCCGTGAATTCCAGCAATCACAATATTTCGATAACATATTAGTATCAACGATCCGTTTCTTGGAGTCCTTGCCAGCTAAGAATCAGAATGAGAAATCGCAATTCATGCGCGGGCTGCAGAGGGTTATCTCAGAATTTCCAGTGTCCGTGTTGGAAAGAAAAGTGCTGGGTATATTGTTGGACGAGCTGAAAGACCGTGAACTCCTACCCCTCATCTTGCAGAATATCTTTGCGATCCTCCAGCGCATTCCCAATGCACGTCGTACACTTCCAGAGAAGGTAATTCCTCGAATCAAAGAGCTGTTTCCGACGGACAAAGCTGCTGTTCATGAACGTGATTCTAAGAAAGATGCGGGCCTTATGGTTGTTCTTGAACACATGAAAACCGTGGCAGACAACTGCTCTGGAAAGGAGCTAAAAGAGGATATCTTGCCACTAATCCGGCTAGGTCTAGACTCACCTACTCATTCCTTGGTAGATGGGGCTATTAAGTGCTTGCCTGTCATCCTTCCAATACTTGATTTTAGCACCGTCAAGAACGACGTCTTCCCTCCAATCGCTTCTACATTTAGTCGAACAAACAGCCTTGCTATTAAAGTACGATGCCTGGAAGCATTCACTGCGCTGTGTGGTGGCTCTCTAAATGAAGGAGGGCCGGTCGAAGATGACTTGTCTGGATTGGTCCAGAAAGGCAACTCACAGCCGATCAGGTCATCTATTTTGGACAAGTATACGATCCAGGAAAAACTCGTCCCACCACTTAAAGCGATCAAAACGAAGGAGCCGGCTGTCATGATGGCGGCCTTGCATGTGTTTCAACAGATCGGCACGATTGCTGATACCGAATTCCTTGCTCTGGAGGTCCTGCCAATCCTGTGGAACTTCAGCCTAGGACCACTGCTCAATTTGCATCAATTTGGTGAATTTATGAACCTTATTAAAAACATATCTTTGAAGATCGAGCGTGAACAAAGGAAGAAACTACAGGAGCTCTCTTCGGGAACAGGCTCAAGTGGGTTCCAAAACGGCGCGGGAAGTTCCTCGAAGATACCCAATAGCTTAACACAATCTAATGTGGACTCTACGAGAGATAACTTTGAGCGCCTTGTTCTTGGGCGGGGTCCCGATGCTTCAAGCTCCAAGGATACTGATCCCTGGAGCAGTATGCTCTCGGAGGAGGCGTCTGCTCAAAAGCAATCACCCGCAGCATTCTCGTGGTCAACAAATGTGGCTGCATCGGCTGGCAGAGGCAATGCCCCGTCGGGTGCTTCAAGCCTCAGTATGCGCTCCATTACACCTGACTATAACTTACACTCGTTTCCCTCGCTGGAGCCTACCGCTAGGCAACGATCCTCTCCAACGCCCGCCTTCCCCACCTTGCAAGCAACATCACCTGATACTTGGAATGCGCCAAGCTATCCGAATAGCCAGAATCCTGTGTCTGGTCCATCCTTAGGGGCGGTAGCTAACATGAAGGCTTCTGGTGCCTCCATGTCTGGACCAAGCGTACAACCAACCCCTAATTATGCTGCGTTTTCTATCCCTCCTCCTCCGTCTTCTCATATTGCGTTGGGGACTTTCCCAAACTCTGGCAGTCTGGCAGCTGCAAACAAACCCCCGTTGGGGATAAATACTCCCCAGAATGCATTCTCGAATAACAGTGTGTCTCAACTACAAGGCAATGCAAAGCAGGGGCTTGACAAGTATGAAAGTTTATTGTGAGTGGAATGATATTATAGTGCTATAGAACTCAGTTGGTTACCCTCCCTCTCTGTCTTTTTCTACTTTAACTACCTTTCTCTTCCTTTGATCTTCTCACGTTTATGTCTCTTCCAGGATAGAAACATGACAGGGCATGTGCCCATATTTTCTTTTCTTTTTTTCTCGTTATTATATGTACATAGTCATGAGCTATCCGACATATATAATTTGTTAGCCAAGGCCTAATCATGAGCCAATATGTTTCCCTCCTTCTGTATAGCTGACAGGTATCCATAAAGATAGAGAGGGTGGGTCTGGACTCTGATAAGCTGTCGAGCAAACTCCACTTTTGCCAAGAATTATGTATCCATGATGCTACCTCCAGTCAGAGAAAGACTAAGGAGATACTTAGCACTGTCAGCTCCAAGAATGCTCGCTGTTCGAGGCGCTTCGAAGCGCTTGTCTTCGGAACATTTTCTCCACCGCCCCTCCCGACCCTTTCTTCTGCCCCTCAATCATCCCCGTCCTTTACATCACTCTTTACGTACTTGTTCTTCTTTCACAAATAACCTTTCCACAAGCACTGTACCTCTTACTCACACGCATCAGAAAATAGTCATGATGGATGAGAAGGTCAAACAGCACTATTTGGCTGACTCACCTCCTACGGTGGTTCGCCTTGAGATCAAACACCACTTTGACAATCTCAAGGATGCAAAGCTGAGACGATATGCGCACTACATAAGCAGGTTAGTTTCTTCCGAAGTCCAGTTGCATAATTTTTGCTAGTTGTATACGTGGCCACCTATTCCACTGGTGTGCACAAAGCTGATAACCGAACTTACTGTTGGAATATTAGAGCGGCATTTGAAGGCACTCGCGTTACTTTGCGCCAGGTTTCCCCCGAGTCTGAACCGATCTACGATCTTATAATCGCACTCTACCACGCCTGTGATGGAAACTGGACTGACCTCGCTAAAACGACCAATGTAAGCGACGAGAATTTGCGTTATTTCTTGGAGTATTCGGTCCAGTTTCTCGGGAATTGCGGGAACTACAAAGGTTTTGGTGACTCCAAGTTCATTCCTCGACTACCTGTGGAAGCCTTTCAAGCGTTGGCCTCATCCACCTCAGAAACAAAAGCAGCATTTGAGAAAGCCAATAGGACTGGAGGTGGTATTTATGAGACAAAAGAGCAGGCGCTTATGCACCTTGGTTATACAGATGGTGGCCATATGACTACTTATTACCCTGATTCGCCATCCATAACGAAAGATGAGATCACAGCTATTGGCGACCTTATGGAGAAAAAAGGGCTACCTCTGGAGAATACAAGACTTAAGAAGTTGCCATCCGGGGACTTTGAGTTGTTAATTGCCTCGGGCGTTTCTTCTCCTCCTGTGAGGGACAGAGATCTTGGTGAAGTCGACGCTTTAGACTTGGATGGTAACTTGACTGGAAAGAAGTTGCGCCTGGTTTTTGGTGATCATATAGAGGAAATGGCAAAGATTGCCCATTCGATTAAGCAAGCGGGACGCAATGCAGCAAACGACAACCAGAAACGGATGTTAGATGCATATGCCTTGTCATTTGGTGCCGGCTCCATTGAAGCCTTCAAAGAAAGCCAGCGGATCTGGGTGAAGGACCAAAAGCCAAGTCTGGAGACCAATATAGGGTTTGTAGAGACTTATCGAGACCCGCATGGAGTGCGAGGAGAATGGGAAGGCTTCGTTGCTTTAGTATGCCACAAGCATTATAATTTTTGTCACTTCTTCATTTGCTGATACCCAATACCTGAGCAGGTTAATCTAGAACGTACCCGAGCATTCGGAAAGCTGGTGGATAGTGCAGAGAGCATGATTCCCAAGCTTCCATGGGGCAAAGATTTTGAAAAGGACAAGTTTCTCAGCCCAGACTTCACCTCGCTGGAAGTCTTGAGCTTTCAATCTTCCGGCATACCTGCTGGCATCAACCTTCCCAACTATGACGATATCCGTCAAAACCTAGGTTTCAAGAACGTATCTCTTGGAAATGTGCTTAGCGCTAAAGCCCCTAATGAGCCAGTTCCCTTTATTGCCGAGAATGATTTGGAGGTTTACCGCAGATGCCGTGACCCCGCTTTTGAAGTCCAGGTAGGCATCCATGAACTTCTCGGGCATGGAACTGGCAAGCTTCTCCAGGAGACCGCCCCAGGGGAGTATAACTTCGATATTTCCAACCCTCCTGTGAGTCCAATCACGGGAAAACCGGTATCTACATGGTACAAGCCTGGCCAGACCTGGAGCTCGGTTTTCGGAGCCATCGCTTCTTCTTACGAGGAGTGCCGCGCAGAGTGCGTCGCTATGGTGCTCAGTTGCGACTTTCACATCCTGAAGATTTTTGGGTTCGGGAACGGACAAGAAGATCTCACCAACGAGGCCGGGGATGTCTTGTTCGCAGCATATCTGCAGATGGCTCGTGCAGGCCTGATCGCCTTGGAGTTCTGGGACCCCAAAACTCAGAAATGGGGGCAAGCCCATATGCAAGCTCGCTATAGCATTCTGCGATCATTCCTTGATGCCGGTGACGATTTCGTCAAACTTTTCTATACCAAAGAAGATCTCTCTGATTTGGAGATTCATCTGGACCGATCGAAGATTCTGACACACGGGCGTCCAGCCGTGGAGAAATATCTGCAAAAGTTGCATGTCTACAAGAGTACTGCGGACTTTGAAGCAGGTAAGAAGCTCTATGATGATATCACGTCGGTCGATGAGTGGTGGGGGACCAAAGTTCGTGAGGTTGTTCTGAAGAACAAGGTCCCACGTAAAGTGTTTGTCCAGGGCAACACCATCCTAGATGGGGATGAAGTGACCCTTAAAGAATATGAACCGACGCTTGAGGGAATGATCCAGAGCTTTGTTGAACGCAATGTCTAGATTCATAGATAGATTTACATGCGTTGGCGATGTGCTTCAACTATATCTGGATGCAAGATACCCGTTTATAGTGTTCCCCTTAAATCTGAGGGATTTCTCAAAACTATATCATATCGTACTGTCCGATATTGGAGGCATGAGTATTTCGTTGCTGGAGATGTAGTCATGTGATCATATGTGAATCCATTTATATAACAGATCATGAAAGTATGCCTAGTGAATTTGAGAAATTTATTGCTAGAAACAACTGTTCATCAATATCCTTGTGTAAACCAAGTGATTGGGGCGGAGGAAGAAGTAGCGTTGTTGCCCCAGGTGCTCCGTAAGCCAACTTCAGTCAACGTTTCCTCCATCACCTCTAAGCGCTTCCCTCCCACACTTCTCCTCTTCCCATTGTCTTCGCCTCGCTCACATTTGCAGCTTCCTGTTATTTTGTACTGCCCATCATCTATCATCAATTTCTCATTTTTCCTCCCCCTTAAAAATAGCTCGAGCATAAGTCTGCCTTCACGAATACCCGCCGCGTCCCTATGTTTTACCGACAGCTCTAGAGACACACCACACTCCTGATCGGCGTGGGAAACGGGAGTCTGACCCTCTTCGATCAACGGGGAGCCCCTCACAAGTAGCTCCTCACATTCCGTCACAGGCACACAAGTACAAATCCCGTCCCTGTAATCTCGAAACGACTCCCGACACCTTGCCGTGGCAATCGGGTTCTCCTGGCTCGCCTACCACGGCGCGGCCGCATCATCTCCCGGATTCTACAGTGGAGGACGACGACGACTTCTATACTGCGCCGCCGCCGCATTCCCCATCCTCACAGGCTTCCTCATTTAGCTTTATCTCAGCACATCCTCCGCCATTCTTGTCTCTTGTGTACCATCCTGGAGCTGATTCCAATCGCGCCAAGGTTACAGTTCCCGAATCCGAGCCGGCTTTCGTCTCGCCGTTCACATCTCCATCCTCCGAAGAAGAACCACCGAATTCAGATTCCTCATCATCCGTGATCGCAGAGTCCAAAGATACCTTTTCCAGGGATCCCAAAGAGTATTCTCCGGGAAGGTCAGCGGAAGAGGGAGAACCTCCTCCCCCGTACACCGAAGGTTCGAGTCCCATAAACTCATTCACCTACGTTATGGCTACGGCAGGAGGCGCGTCGAGTATCATCACTCAAGTACAACAGGCGGGTGGACCACCGATAAACACTTTAGGAGGTATGACACTTGATCGGCACTTATGACCATCTGTTCGAGTCACTAACTCAACTATTCTGGAATTTAGACATTGGAGGCGATGAACATATAACTCTGGACCTCAGGTGAGAATTCGCGAACCTTGAATTTCTGGCACTTTTTCTAATGTGGCTTGCAGAGGAACAAGGTTCACACTCTCTCGGGATGAACTGTTAACACTGCCGGAGTTTGTCCTTTTATCGCTGTTTCCGAATGGTTTACTTCCAGATGGACACATGGGCACCTTTCACGAAGGTGATATTTACCCCGTCGATGTAAGTAAAGCAAAAACGCTCTATCGGCTCACACATAAGTCCCTTCGGCCGATTGATATACTCTTCTAACATATACACGTTAGTATGATCCGGTGTCTCTCCAGTACATGCTTGACTTCTTCCGCTCCGTCGCTCAATCCATCCCGTCGTCTCCTACAGCCTCGACATCGCAAGACCTAGACGTATCCCCCGACTCCATGCAAGGATCGACCAGAGACATGCTCCAGGACCGGGCAGGGATCATCGTGCTGCGGGAAGACCTTGATTTTTATGCAATTCCTCCACGGCCGGATATCGATCACACGGAAATGATCGAGGTCAAGCGTGCAGCTGCAAGAGCGCTACTGAAACAAGACGGGATCTTCTCTGGATTAAGGAAGAGTGATGAGGCTGGTTCAACAGAGCAGCACTTGATCGAGATGCTGACTGCAGGGTAAGCTTTATATCTTTGAGCGTCCAGCTCTCTTTATAACCTTAAATGCTAAAATAATTATAGCGGCTTTGATCGTGATGACCGGTGGGGTCACCGTGCCCCAGAGCCCAACAAGGCAGTTATCTGTAGCCTCGCATTGGCTAAACTCCGTACTGATATCAGGGGTGACATCCCCAATAACAACGCAGTTGGCATGGCCCAAAAACTCCTCTTATTTTGGAGAAAACCTGCTAGAAGATGCTGGTGGGAGGGTGTTGAGTTGGAGAATATCGAAGGCGTTCAAGGCAAGGTGAAAATCTGGATTCGCAGAGTATGGACTTTAGAAATGGTAAGACTTGTGGATCCTGCCACTGATCTGATGGCTCAAGCTAACATGACTGCAGAGTGTAATTGGGCTTCGATAACCAAATCCCACTAATTCTTTAAGCTTTGCATTGTTCTCGTGCAATGTCTTGCCTGCTAGAAGCATGCCATTCACAGCAATGGCTTTCTTTATTGTTTTCCACAACTCTTTTTTCTTTTTCAAGCCCATCTTTGGAGGAGTTCATGATACCCCTACCTACTTCCGCGTCTGCCGTTGCAGGCAAGGGGAATGGCGTATTCAATTAAAGATTGAGGGTACTTGTGTCATTCTGTTTATTGTTTCCACCAGCTGGCCCTCATTTTCTTTTTCTTTGTGCTTGCTGTCTATAGTTGACATTTTATCCTCAACCTCTTTTTTTACCTTGTTTAACTAGTGATAACATCCTTTGTTTGAGGAAGTCCTAGACATCTCCAATACAATCTTAGGACCTAATTCACCTCTCTCTCTCTCTTCTTCATCTTAATTTTTGCCCCGGTTAGAACAAGACAAAGAAAAAGGAAAAGGAAAGAACAGAAATTTGGTAAATTTTGAATTGATATCGCCGATCCATAGTAGAAACAAGAATTCATTTACATACACGTGACTATGATTCCGAAATAGGATTAGCGGGGATATTCCGGTGGAAAACGCGACAATGCAGAACAGGCGGAGCTCAACCGCGATCACCGTCAGAGGAGCTTTGGCTTGTACTAAAGATCAACCTGTCGCTGACGCAGGCCGACCATATCGCATTGCCAGACTTACTGATCGCTTTTTCAAGTGGAAGCGACTCTCCAATTCATTTGCAACTTGCATATACATATTCTCCTCCACCCTTTCGTTGACCGCATTCAAGATAAGATTTGCTTGTTCTCGAATCGGAGTGCCCTGGCAAATCAAGAAGGGACATGTTCTTGTCCACATAACTGGCCAACATGTCCCCCCTCAGAGGCTATATTACTTCTTATTCTCCGCGAGTCCGCCAATATGGAAACGCGCTTCTCGCACCGGTCATTCCTCCAAGCCAAACCGGTCCGACACCTCGAATGACAAAGAGAGGAACAGCGGCAATAAACTACGCTGAAGATGGGTTTGACGACGACGACTTTGAGGACAGTGAAGGTCCCCGACGACCCACTGGCTTGAGGAGCCTTCGACGGGAAGAGTCGACTATTGACAAGGTTCCTTTGGCGGAAAAGTTGGGCAAAGAAGTTCATACTCCTGTTGAAGTTCAAGGGGTATTTCGGGACTGGATGATTAAGAGGATGCTGAGGCCTGTGTATGCTTTGCTAATCACCACTCCCTTTCTATATCACCTGAAGCTATTTTTTTTGCAGAGGATGCTAACTCTAAGTTTTTGCTGTTATACAGCTGCGCCGACCAACTGCAGATTCAGGCGCAGCTCCCCCTCACCCTAATACCCATTCGCATTGATTTAGAAGTTCCAGCGCATCAACCTCTAGAACCCTTCCAATTGCCACGAACTGTTCTGGATCCCGGTATCAACCCTACTCTCCCCGGCTATAGAAGACCCGAGCCGTTGCCTGCGTACAGGATCAAGGATACATTCCTTTGGAACCTTCACGAAGCGCTGGCAACTCCTGAAGAATTCGCTACCGGCTTTGTTCGTGACTTAGACCTACCCAATCCGCAGGCCATGACAATGGCAATCAGCAATCAAATTCGTCAACAATTAGAAGAATATGCCGGTGTTGCGCTACATCCGCTATTTCAAAGTACAGTGCCAAAGCTGCCTTCTGCCAGCCAAGCTGGTGTATCGCGCGATGTATCCGCAACTCCTGCTCCTACCCATGCCGCCACGCCTGATAGCAGATCCAACACTGTGACTGTAATCAAAGAACCGTTTGTTAACGACAGTTTCTTGAATCCGGATGATGCATACCGATGCATGATTAATCTCAACATTAACCTGCAAAATAAATTATACACTGACAAATTCGAGTGGTCTCTGCTACATCCTCCCGGCATGGCAGAGGAATTCGCGAAAATCACTTGTGCCGATCTGGGTCTGGGTGGAGAGTGGGTTAGCGCTATTGCACATGGTATTTATGAAGCTGTTCTAAAGTTGAAGAAAGAAGTTTGTGAAAGTGGTGGTTTAGTCAGTGGCATTGGCGGCTATGGAAATGAGATCGACAACCAGGCGGCCAATGGCACTGAGGCCGGCTGGCGTTATGACCCGGAGGGACTCGGCGATGAATGGGAACCCAAAGTGGAGACGTTGTCAAAGGAAGAAATTGAGAAGCGGGAAGGTGATCGTGAACGGCAGATCCGGCGTCTACGACGAGAAACTGCTAGGTTCTCTTCTACTGCAGGCATAACTCCAGACGTTTCTCGACAAGGTAGCGGGGGCTATTTTGACGTTGACAGCGAGACCCCTCTAGGTAGGGGTGAAAGGAGCAAACGAAAAAGGCGTTTCCGCAGCCTGAGCCCATTGGGAAGAGGAGGTACACCTGGCGGACGTGGAACTCCAGACACCTCTTCAGGCGCCGGGTATGGCGGTGGCGGCGGTACATTGTCCGATTGGTATGTCCTCTCGCTCTGCTACTGTTTTTGACCTTCCATGGGCTGACTTTCTCATCTTTGCTTCCAACAGGGAACGGCAAAATTGGCGGTGCAGTAACTGCATGGTATGGGGTACCGCTGTTTGGGCTGTTCGGGATGGCCCTGCCGGTCCAAGGGTAGGAGCAATGCAACTGTGAAATCCGCACTATGCTCAGTTTACTGACTCACTGTACTCCAGACACTTTGCCACAATTGTGGTCTCCTATACGAACGTGATAAAGTTGCACCGGAATGGTCCAGAGATCTACACCGTCATGATATACCGATTGGCCGAGCATAGTACCAACCGATTGACATGCTTGGCGTAGCTTTCGTCGCCAGTCTATTCATATAGCTTCGGTAAGACGGTAGTCCCTAGTCTTCAGTTCAGAGGGCCAGGAATGTATAGGTTGAGCGTAGCTGACATTGGCCGGTCAATAGGATCCGTTACGAGCGCAACACCATAATTACATTTAGTGGAACTAAAGACTGCATCCTACATCACTTCAGGATTGGAACATAGTCCCTGTACTTTTTCAAAACTTTGGCCATGATATCTTTAATGAACCCTTCACAGTTAGGATTCGGCGTCTTTGATGTGATTTATGTCTTGTTTCTTTTTATCACCATTATTATTAACTTTTACTTATTACCCTCTGCACTTCTCTTTCTTCTTTTCCTCTCTCTCTCTCTCTCATTTTTTTTTTTTTTTTTTTTTTTTTTTTTTTTTTTTTTTTTTTTTTTTTTTTTTTTTTTTTTTTTTTTTTTTTTTTTTTTTTTTTTTTTTTCTTTTCGCAGTTTTCCTGCGCACCTTGCTGATTGGAAAAAGATTCTATTTTATTTCATTCAGTGTCTCCTTCGATCTCCTTCAATCTTAAGTCTTCTTTATCCTCTTTCCAGAATTTTTGTTCCGGACTGTTGTATTACCGATATGTATACTGGCTACTATGACCAGTCGGCGGTTTCATTTATTTTCTTCTTCTACCATGGGTTTGTTTTCCTTTTTTCCTTTCTCTTGACATTTTAGCAATGTAGAACAACGGACGGGAAAGAGCAAATTCAAGGCTTAGAACATTGAACGTACTGTGGCTCAAGAGGCAAGTGTAGAGGATTCAGCTTCAGTATAGTACTTCCATTGTCTTTCCGGACGCCTTTGGCCCTATGATTAGTATCTTACAAAATAAGGATACCTAGGCAGAGGCTACTCGCAATTATTAAACTTGGTGCGCATGTAGGGCGGATGAGCGGCGTACAAGGCTGCCAGTTACCACCCGGAGACAGTTCACTAAACTTGATGCTTAGTAAAGCAAATATATAGGGTACTCAAGGATTGTTTACTAGTAGTAGGTAGTTCTATTATCTCCAATAGGGTCTTTATTCGATGCCTATAGGACATGGCTTGGAAAGCGACGATCAGTTACTGAGTGGCCCGTTTTTCTTTCTTTATAAATCTCCCTTATATCATGGACGACGTATGTCGTCTGTGAAACCCAGCTTTCCGTTCCTTTTATTTGCGCCCCGTGGCTCTTGTCTGATCTGATAACTCTTTGTTACATATGCACATACTCATAGGTTAGGTTACTTGGAAAGGCCCAGGCAATATTACGATAAGAGGCTTCAATAAGATACCTGACAAATCCGTCAATTCTGTAGAACGACTCTGCTCTCTTCCATGTTGTGGACTTGCTACAGACGGTATGATTACGGTGTTCCCGTTCCCTCGCACGTTGATCGATGCGTCGATATGGATGGTAACGGGGGCATGGTGGTGACGGCTGCCGTTGCTAGGACCGGACTCCCAGGACATGCATTCATCGCTATCATCAGCATCTTCCGGCTCATCCTTGTTTGTCAACCATCTCGCTTTCGGCGAGGACGCAATCTGGTGCATTACTCCTTGAATATGGAGGTGGGGGCGATGCCCTCGTTTGATTTTGAGCGGCTGCTCTTGCTTCTGCACATTTCTGTAGTTGATGGAGCAAGGAGTCGGGGGGAGGAAGCATTTTGCGCTGAATGCGGCAGCTGTCCAGGATAAGGATGGACGGTCAGGACAGACGAGTATGTGTCGTATAGCAATTGGCAGGGAATTTCCCACAAAGCACGGATAGGAAGAATGGCGAATCTATAAGGCCCTGGAACAAAAGGCACGATATTTATATGTATCGAGAAGGAAGAGGGAAGGAAAGGAAACAGGGACTGAGATGCTATGCGATATGAGCGAGCTGGGACTCCGCTAAAACTGAACAGTGAAACATTGAATATGCAGCCAACTTGTCCATAACCATAGACTTTGTATATAACTTTACACGCCGCGTTCCCTTGCTAACAATGGATGATGCATCAATAGACCAACAACACTGCTCACAACACCACGTTGATAGGGAAGGACTGTATCCCAGCTAACCCCCGCAACCGGGGCAGAGAGCCTATCAAGTTAAGCACCTCATTACCGCCAATCACTACCGTGAAGCTGCAACGATGGCCCCAGCCTTCTTATTGGGCTGCGGCAGGTTTGGTATTGCTCTCGATCATCAAGGTGCGGTACTGTGCATACAACCGTCGTTGACATGTCAGTGCTCTCGTGGGAACCCCAGCAACCACAAGATATAGAAAATCAGGGGCAATGAAAGGAACAGAAAAAAAGAAAAGCCAAGGAAAGTGGGAGCCTATGCTACAGAGTATGTAACAAAAAGGCCACCGCCCTCTCCCTGTTCTATGCCATGTATATTCCACGAACAAACTTTTTCTCCTGCCGGTACACCTTCAAAAAACAAGGGCAAACAAGGACAATAAGGCTGAGCAATAAATTAAGCCCAGCGATCACCGAACATCCAACTTTCGTGAAGAGATTGGTTATCATGCTCTGTGCCTAGACCATTGATTGTGCTTGTTTGGGCTGTGTGCTTGGATGTTTCATTCGCTCCAAGAGCAGGTAGTACGGTATCTGGGGGAATGGACTTTCCATGAACAGAACCTAAGTAGTACATACCCATTTAGTCAGGTACCGTGTCTCAGATCTCGGCTCTAAGCTGCAAATAGACTGATGGATGACTTGTGTTCATTCTACTACTTACTGTTATTGTCATGATTCTTTGCCATCGTGTATGGGCTTCGCCCCTGCTGCATACGCGTTTTCCCTTCAGGATAATACTTGCCACCAGGATGTAGAGGCTGCACAGTCTGGGATCTGATTAGCAGGAACAAAGGCCGGCACAAATAGACTAAAATATACCAGCGCTCGTGCCACGCCAGCCGAAACTCTAGAGATCACGGACTGGTACTGACTTCACGGAACTCATCGCCTTCGATATGAACCTCGCGGTCTCGGATACGGCGCATCAAAGCAAGAAAGTTGCTCTCCCGAAATTTCTGGCTCTGATCGTGGCTGACATTTTCCAGTAACAGTCCTGCTGTTCGAGCAAGCTCGTCGGAGTCATTGTAACGTGCTCGAGCGTCATCCTTTTCAGTCTGAGGTATGGTGTCTGAACCAATCCTGATGGCTTCAACGTGAGGAGTAGCAGTTGTATCCGGATTAGTAGCCTCATTGGTAAGCTTTTGTGCGTGATCAGCCGTCTGTGACGCTAAATCCGCCTTGGCTTGTTCAAACGCAGCTTCAAAGGCAGACTCATCGAAAGCTTCAGTGGATGGTAGCTGGCTAGCTGTCAGGTCTTGTGCTGACGGTAAAGCACTCACTGCAGCCCCGTGTATAGGATAGCTAGGCGTAAAGAAAGGTTGGAACCCTTGAGCCAAAGGTTGGTGTTGCTGGGTAGGACTAGGTTGCGCCTGCTGGGCTAGAAAATCATTTCGCCAGCCATGTTGTGCAAGGTTCGACGCTGAGGCTGAGGCTGGGCCCGCTTGTTGATGAGCTAAAGGCGAAGAGCCGGAAATCTGTAGCCTCTCAAAGTCTGCTGCCCACTTGTGCTTCTCTACTTGGTTATGTACCGCGAAATGGGGAGGCGTAGCGAAATGGGCCGGGTGTTGTAAATCGGGAAGCGGTGCTCCTGTTATATTGGATTCGAACGCAGTGAACTCGGGATCCAGGATACCTTCGTTGGGATTTTGTGACCGAAAGCCCTACAGCGCAAACCAGATCTTAGCATTGTTGAAGGTATGATCCACACGGGATGTAGAGACTTAGAAACTTACCTGAGAATGCGACTGTCGCGAAACTAATCTGTCCTGTTGCAGTGTCCGGTCAATGGAGGCATGCTTCTGGAAGTTTTGAAGAGCATTAGACGGGCCACAGAGAGCATCACTCATGATGTCGAGATAGCACAAGCTGGGTGCTAGAAGATCTTCGATAACGATGAGACTCAATAGACAACTTAGTGCAATCAACGAAGGTTGATATAGGTGTGAATTTGGAGACAACTATAATGAGAGTCCTCTTTGGCAGGGGAGGCTGATTACAAGACTGGAAAGAAGGAAGTCGGCTTGTAAGTGATACATACAGAAGAAGGCGTGGGGTAGTCAGCCGAGTAGAGCCGAGGCCGGTCTCACGTGCCAAGGGATGTACTTTTGTACTGTGACTGAAGCGATAAGATAAGATCTGGCTGCGGCTCCTCCCACCACGAAACGGACAAGCTGGCGGTGACTTGCTGCTGTGCCCATTTGCTTGCGTGTTGATTCGACACACCACCGCCGCCCTCTTTCTCGAAACTTATAATCAGCAGCCTCAAAGGTCCAGTAAATCATATTCTACAAATATAGTTCCCTAGGATTTGCTAAGGGTATCAAATTGGACAACATGGTGCGTTCCCCCCCTTTCAATCCGTCCAGATTCTGTTCTTTCCAAACATTGACGTTCCGACCTGGAATTCTAGGCGGCTGCTCAGATTATCTCCAACTCCGGACACGATGACATGATTGTACGTGCTAAGGACAGAACTTATCTGAATTCAGCGCTATGCATTCCCCGGGCTGACCCACCTATGACACGCAGCATGACGCTGGCCTGGACTACTATGGCCGCAGATTAGCGACTTGCTCGTCGGATAAGACAATAAAGATATTCGAGATCGAAGGCGAGACGCATCGCCTGGTGGAAACCCTAAAAGGGTGAGGAACATACTCTTTGTGCTTAAACGCGCCATTACTGACATGGGAAATTACGAACGTAATAGACACGAAGGTGCAGTTTGGTGTATCGCATGGGTGTGTACCAACCTCCCCAAGTATCTCATACAGATTTGCATTCATCATAACTGAACCTCTGAATTAACAATTTTCTTTCCTCTGACTCTAGGCACACCCAAAATTTGGTACAATTCTGGCCTCCTCGTCTTATGATGGAAAGGTCCTCATCTGGCGCGAGCAACATCAGAACACAACATCCCCCGTCGCTGTAAACTCCTGGACAAAGGTCTTTGATTTCTCCCTCCACACAGCCTCGGTGAACATGGTCTCCTGGGCTCCGCACGAGAGTGGGTGCCTTCTTGCTTGCGCTTCTTCCGACGGCCATGTTAGTGTACTTGAGTTCCAGGATAATAGCTGGACTCATCAGATCTTTCACGCCCATGGAATGGGAGTGAACTCTATTAGCTGGGCCCCTGCGGCATCTCCCGGCAGCCTGATCAGCGCCAACCCTGGACCGGGTCAACAGCGGAGGTTCGTCACCGGCGGAAGCGATAATCTGCTCAAGATTTGGGATTACAAGTACGTGCAAATAACAAATTTCGCATAGCTACCTGAATGGAAATATACTAATCACGCCGTGTATCTATGCAGCCCGGAAACTAAATCCTATAATCTCGCTCAGACATTGGAAGGCCACTCTGACTGGGTCCGAGACGTTGCTTGGTCACCGAGCATACTTTCCAAGTCCTACATCGCGTCTGCCTCACAAGACAAAACTGTTCGCATCTGGACCTCGGATGCGTCGAATCCTGGTCAGTGGGCCAGCCAGCAGCTCGAATTTGATACCGTGCTCTGGAGGGTCAGCTGGAGCCCTAGCGGAAACATCCTCGCTGTGAGTGGAGGAGACAACAAGGTTAGCTTGTGGAAGGAAAATCTCAAGGGACAATGGGAGAAGGTGAAGGATATTGAGGAGTAAATTTCAAGTTTCCCCTTCTTCCTCTCCCCCCTCTCGTTGTTTCCTAATAAGGGCCCCCCCAAATTATTTTAATTCATATCATGCTATGATGAACATATTGGGCTTGCTTAGGTGATTCCCAAAAGAGTTAAGAAGGTGTGTGTGTGTGTGTGTGTGTGTGTGAGATTACAAAGTCCGAAAAAATAAACGGTCTTGTTTCTATTATGTCAATCATATCTACCCATCTTCCCAACATGATCTTACCCCCGAGAAGGATAACCCCCTCATGACCTTGAATCCAAAGACAATCAGTTTCCAGCTCACCTAGTGGCCACAGCTCACTTAGTAAACATGCTACGTCGTCGTCACTTGGCTCCGATTCGCTAATCTCAAGAAGCAACGGGAGTTGGTCACGGTCTGCGACGCATATGGCAAAGCATATACGCTGCCAACCAGGAAAGCTGCCTTGCGATACTCGAATGGGCTCAGTAAAGCCGCGCACTGGATATAGATCGTCGTCAAGTCTTTGAAACCCACGGAAGTATAAGCGGGGAGACACTGGCCCAACCATTGGGGTTGTCTTGTTGAACTCAGGTGGCCAATTCAAGGTGTTCAGGTCTGGTCTGATTTGAAAGAACTGGAAACTGCCCTGTGTTAGCATTCTTCGCCTCAATATCTTCTGCTATAATACATACCAATGGATCAGTGTCCCCTTGTATCCAGGGTGTGGTTAAATCAGCGCATGATTGCCGGTTTTCTAGCTCGGCGATTGCTTTTGGGTAGGGATGGACGCATGCTTCAGGGGAAAACTAGCTGTTTGGCATTATGCTTGACTTCAGCAAGTGCGATTAGGCCCTGTAACTTACACCAGTAACCTACCCATTTGGCGCTCAGCTCCACGTTTTCCTTGATAGTAGACAATACCTTGGGTCTTTGATCTATAGGTAGCTTCGTGTAAGAAGTGCAGTATGTGGCTCCATTAGGGCTCAGCAAATGCCACATCCAGAAATTGCGGATATGCAAAATGGCTGGTACTAGTTCTAATTTTTCAGATCAGTGAGTGGTGTTGTAATCTCAATTTTGTAAAGAGTAGACGTCCGCAACGTTGTTCGAGAAGCCGGAGAAAATGTAGCTGATCGCAACGGCGCTGATGCAAAGGCAAACTGTTTCCGCACTGAGACCCAATTGACACTATCTATCTACCATCACAGTTCAGTTGTGATGGGAGCCTGACCAGAACTTCTCTGAGACCAAACCAGCCCCTATCTCCGATGGTTGCAGCAGTATGAGCACCATTAGATAACACGATCTGAGGGAATAATCTTTCTGCATAGTTTGGTCTCATTCTCGGGAGGTTCCATGACCAGTTTTCGATGTGCTCAGGAAATACTGGTTGTCAAAGGGTCTCGAGAGATAGTCTGACAATTACCTTATACGAAACCTAGACAGTTCTAAGGACATTTCAAGCTTCTTGGTGCGTCTATATCGTTGAGCCTCGTTCCAGATGCGGTACAACATGTGGCTGATAATTACTCTTGCTTTGATAATCATAACTCGCAATGAGGTTTTGGCTGTTCGATCTCTTGGTGGGTTCTAGGTTCATTCCACTGCACTGCACTTGTCAGGGCCTTTCTTCTAGGATGCCTAGTTTATTTTGTTATTATTCTTCTTCTTCTTTTCCGAGAAAGTGCCCGCTTCGCAGATATACAAAGTAAACTTATCGTTATCTGCAATATATATCAACGCCGCTTGCCCATACATATCACATTCATGCTCATGAGAGCTGCCCTTTTCATCTCTACCTCTTAAACTTGCATCACAGTTATCACGGGGGCGACTTTGGAATATTTCTTCTTGTCCATACCACATCGACGGTTTCTGGAACAATTACTAGTGTCCCCATGATGGCCAACACACAGGAGGAAGTAAGTACTAGCCACAGTCCTGGTGTGAAATGACGATTTACTATTGACACGCTCAAATATAGCCAGCGGCATCAGTCTCGTGGTGGATAAAATATTCCAGAGAGCCGAGTTCCTGAAGTAGAATATTCATTTTCTGGAGACAAGCGAATAATATTACGAATTGTAACGACATCGAAAAGCTAGTCGTTTTCAATCCGAATCTGCTAATGCGGGCGTGGCTGATATATTCAGCATCTACGCCCTAAACTCAGAGGGGAACCATGGAATTGAACCTAAAAATGTTCAATATCGACCTCAACAGTGTCTTGTGCAGTAGTTATATGGCTCCCTACCACTTTCGCCGGTCACCCAAGGAGGGTGAAAAGTGCAACCTTTTGTCACCGGTAGCTGCTATTTCCTCTATCCGTGACACTCCCCTCTACGTAGCAACCAAATGTGACTCTAGCCAAGCTGTTATATAGGCTTCTTTGGAATGGCGTGCTATTTTATCCAAAATTTCCCTTCAAGATGAACTTTTTGGCTTTATGCGTTGCATGTTGAATCGCTTCATGTGGGAGGGTATCCGCACCAATGCGGACTACTTTCAATGTTTACGAGTAGGGGAGATGATCCCGCCAAGGCTATCCATATCTATAGAGCTGTTCATCTGAGCCGTGCGCCTCCTTCAGAGTGGTAATGGAGCCGTAGACCCTGGAGGCACCTAGATTTCTGGCCGAAAGTCTTTTAGTCGACGGGGAAAATTTCCGGCACAAACTGTCATTCTAGAGGACCACCAAAATGGGTGAGAGATTTGGTGACAAACTCTATGACTGTATCCGTGAAAGTCCCCTGCGGGTGAGTAAATATCGGTAGAGCAAGTTCGGGTTGCTCCTCCTACCTCTACCTATCAATAAAAACATATACACGTGTAGGATTTCTTTATTTCTTTCTGTTTCTGTTTCTGTTTCTGTTCTTTTCTTTCCTTTTTTTTTTAAAAAAAATTCTTTTTAGGAGTTGTTGCGGGTCCTCACCAGACTTTCCTTGACACCCCAGCCATCTGCGAGGAGTTCCTTGACCTCTTCTAAACCGAGCCCACTCATTTCAGGATAGATCATCCACACACCAAACCAGCTAACTGCACAGACGACCGCATATGTCGCAAAGGTCCACGCTGGGGACAACAGTTCCATCATGGGAAGAAAAGTAAGCCCAACAATGAAGTTTGAGGTCCAGTTCGTTGCTGTAGCGAATGCAGACCCGAGAGACCGTACGCTTAAAGGAAACAGCTCGGACTGCTGCCAGGGTACATTGCCAAGCCCGAAGGCGTAAGAAGCGGTGTAAACCGTTAAACACAAAAGTATGGTGATAGGGAGCGTTGGGTCACCCGTCACGGTGTCACTAGACCCTGCACGGGTCTGTGGATAAGAGGACAAATCTGATGATACCAAAGAGAAAGTTATTGCGCAAACGATGAGAGATAGTGTCATAATAGGT